TGAAGCCGAATATGTTCATTGTAAAGCCCATGTACCCTTAAAAGTCACTGCACCTCCATGTATGGAAACTGACATGGAGTGGAATGGTGGTCACAATCAGAGTTGTTTCTCTTTAGTAATTCAGGTTTATTCAAGTAACTCCAAGGTTCAGATTTTTAAAAACAGTTTCCAGCACAGAGTATATTAAAAACTTTGTCTAAAGTTTACTCTAGGTGCAGAAATAAAGACAACTTAGTCGAGTGAAGGAAAGGGTAACAGACTTAGAAATGGCTATCTACACTTATGGAATAAGTGTACTAATTAGAGCAGGTAACAAGTCCCCACAATGTGTAACATATTCTTCTCTAAAAGCTCGCAACAATTTATGTGCCACCTTCCATCCGCTTTCCCAGCAGATGGTAATTGATGTGATTTGAGACTAGAACACTTCATTGAAACAAGTCGCTGGAGGTCCTCTGGGGATGCGGCTTAAAAGTCCAGGATCAGGCCAGGCGTGGCAGCTCACGCCTGTAATCCCAGCACTGTGGGAGGCTGAGACGGGCAGATCACCTGACGTCAGGAATTCGAGACCAGCCTGGCCAACATGGAGAAACCCCGTCTGTACCAAAAATACAAAAATTAGGGCCGGGCGGTGGCTCACGCCTGTAATCCCAGCACTGTGGGAGGCTGAGATGGGCAGATCACCTGAAGTCAGGAGTTCGAGACCAGCCTGGCCAACATGATGGAACCCCATCTCTACTAAAAATACAAAAAATGGGTGTGGTGGTACGTGCCTGTAATCCCAGCTGCTTGGGAGGCTGAGACAGGAGAATCACTTGAACCCAAAAGGTGGAGGTTGCAGTGAGCTGAGATCACGCCACTGCAGTCCAGCCTGGCAACAGAGCGAGACTCCGTCTCAAAAAAAAAATACAAAAAAAAAAAAAAAGAAAAATTAGCCAGGCATGGTGGTGCATGCCTATAATCTCAGCCACTTGGGAGGCTAAGGCAGGAGAATCACTTGAACCCAAAAGGCGGAGGTTGCAATGAGCCAAGATCGTACCACTGCACTCCAGCCTGGACGACACAGCGAGATGCCATTTCAAAAACAAACAAATAAATAAATAAATCCCCAGGATATAGAGTCCGCTTGCCTGGGTGGAGTCTTGGCTCCATCTCCTACATCTCATGTGACTTGAAGCAAGGCACTTCACTGTGCCTCAGTTTCCTTATTTTTAAATGGAGGTAATCATAGTACCTACCTCAGTGTTGTGAAGATTTAATGAGATAATAACCTGCAGAGCACTTGACAGAGTCTCAAGAAATATGAGCTCTTATAACATTATTGCTATTATAAAGCATTGCTATTGTTTCTGCCCCAATTGGCAGTTTCAGAAAATTGAGAAGGAATATCACTGAATCTTTAATGCCAGTTACACAGAGCTCAGTAGGTGTCCACAAAGCCCTTTAGATGCACGTAGCCTATTTGATCTTCATGTCAGCCCTGTAAGGTTGGGCTTAAGAATGACCCATCATGGAACTACTCTTGGGACCACAGGGGAAGTGACAGTCCTTGTAAGCTGTTTGTCAGTGGGCCTTAGCAACCAAGCCCCAATTGGACAGAAAGACAGGGTTCTGTGAGCATCCATTCCAAGAGTCACTTTAGGAGTTCAATCTTCTGGGCTCTGAGAATGGATTCATAGCAGTACCTCTATCTGGGAAATACCTTTGCTTTGTCCAAGTAACCTCCTCCCACACAGAGTACCCGAATCAACTCAGATTTTTTTTTCTTAATATTGGCAACACTTAATGCTACTTCTTTGTTCGTAACATTTCATTTAATTATTTAAAAATCTGCAAATGTTGTGTATATTTTACTGCAATTTTTAAACAATCTCCAGTGTAGACTGCGCTCTAGCATTTCTAAAAATAAAAGTAAATATGTTAAAATAAGGTAAGAGTGAGTTTTTCCTACATTATGTTTAATTTTTAATTGAAAGTTTCCCCCACAAAAGAAATGATACTGCAAGCATAGTTTGTGTGTTTGACAGTAAGATTCTATTAGGCTTCAGATTTCCCTCAATAAAAGTTTTAATTTTTATACATTCTGTCATATGAATTGAATGAAGTAAATAATATGCTGTTGTAAGCAAATTACCTGCAGATAAATGTCCTATGAATCATATATCTTTCTGTGTATTAAATTCTGAAGTTTTGAGCAGTTTTCAATGTGAAATCCCAGCTGGCTTCTTTGCAATGATGGACAAGTTAGTATAATTCATATGGAAATTCAAAGAACCCAGAATAGCCAAAACAATCCTGAAGAGCAAAGTTGGAGGACTCATATGCCCCAATTTCAAAACTTACTACAAAGCTACAATAATGAAGAAAATGAGATAATAGAATTTGGGTTCCAGAAATAAACCCTCTCACATTCATGGTCAATTGTTTTTTGACAAGGGTGCTAAAATTATTCAATGGGGGAAAGAACAGTCTTTTCAGCAAACTGGTGGGACAACTGGATATCCACATGCAAAAGAATGAAGTTGGACTCCTATTTCACACCATATACAAAAATTAACTCAAAATGGATCAAAGATCTAACTGTAAGAGGTAGAACTATAAAACTCTTAGAAGAAAACTCTTAGAAGAAAACAACATTCCTGACCTTGGATTTGGCAGTGGTTTCTCAGACATGACACCAAAAGCACAAGCAAAGAGAAAAAGAAATTGGACTTCATCAAATGTTTAAAATTTTGTGCTTCAGAGGACTCTATCAAGAGAGTTAAAAAGATCCACAGAATGGGAGAAAATATTTGCAAATCATGTCCAATAAGGGAATTATACCTAGAATACACAAAGAATTCTTAAACTCAGTAAGTTGTAAGCCGATTTAAAATGGGCAGAGGATCTGAAAGACGTTTCTCCAAAGATGTACAAATGGCCAGTAAACACATGAAAAGATGTTCAACATCATTAGTCACTAGGGAAATGCAAATCAAAACCACAGTTGAGATGCAACTTCACACATTATGGGTATAGTCAAAGACAGTACCAAGTGTTGCTGAGGATGTGGAGAAAGTGAAACCTCCTACATTGCTGGTGGAAATGTAAAATGATGCAGCCACTTGGGATAATAGTTCCTCCAAAGATTAAACAAGAGTGTGTGTCCCCGCAGTTTTACTCCTAGGTGTATACCCAAGATAAATGAAAACATACATCCGCACAAAAACTTACACACAAATGTTCGTAGCAGCATTATTCATAATTGCTAAAGAGTGGAAACCCAAATCTCCATCAATGGATGAATGGATAAATAACAATGTGCTCTTGACATGATACTGAACAATGATGTTCAGCAATAAAAAGGAGTGATGTAGTGATACACATGTTACAACGTGGATGAACTTTAAAACACTATGCTAAGTTAAAGAAGCCAGTCACGAAATACCACATACTATATGATTTCATTTATGTAAAACGTCCAGAATTGGCCAATCTGTAGAGATAGTCGATTTGTGGTTTCAGAGGGCTTGTGGTGGCCGATGGGTTGGGGAGTGATGGCTGATGGGTGCAGGATTTCTCTTTGGGGTGATAAATTTTCTAAAATTGATCTAGTGATAATGGTTGCACAACTCTGAATATACCAAAAGTCATCAAATTGTACACTTTAAGTGGATACAAACTGTATGTGAACTTAATCTCAATAAAGCCGTGACAAAAGTTTCCAACATGAACAATTATTTGGAGAGCCTTTCTCCCTGCCTGTTTCCTCCTCTCCTTTTTGTCTGAACTGCACTGTCTTAACTCCCGTGTTTGATGTGCCCTTAACTCTTAGGATACTGCCATTTTGTCTGACAGTCCATGTCGTGACCAAATTCACCTTTCCAAATAAGGGTCTCTGTTCAGGCGTTTCTATCCAAAATAGATTTGTCCTGTGTCCTAAGGCCAGGGATGCGTTCTCCCCCCCGCCCCCCCGCCACCGCCGCCCCAACACCCTGTGTGATATGTTTATATTTCAGAGAAGATTGGGCAGGGAAAAGCATTTTCCGAAGTTCAAGCATACAGCATGGGGACTAGAAAGATGCTGGGTTGGATATAAAATAATTGAGCCCCCAACGCGTCAAGGAGGATGTTTGGGGCTTTTAGAAGGCTGCCTGTTCACAGAAAAGGTGAATGTGTTGTCCAGGACGGTGTTAGCGCGAGTCTAGTCACTTGGCTTGTCATTTGAAAACGAAAAGTAACTCGGAAATGAGCTGCTAGCGGAGACTACCCTGTGTCTGGGGCCAGGACAGTCTAGAGCAGCCTCATTCTCTGATTCCACCACCTCCTCTCCATATACCGCTCCTGCCCCTCCCCCGTGTTTAACACAGCCTTTTCCTGGGAGGGGCCTGGAATCTCAGGCTGGGCTGTAAGTGGCCAATGAGGCCTCCCAATCTAAGGCGCCGCCTCCGGGAACGGAAAGCCAGGCCCATTCCTTCCCAGAGAGCTTTTCAGGAGCAGGCGCGCAGTTTGCGTATTGCAAGGCAGAGGGTGGAAGGGTGAGAATCTTTCAGGGAAAAGCCACATGGTCCTTTTTATGATGTGAGTCCTTCCCAGTTCCTGCGAAGCATGTAGCCAACTAATGAGCCTCCTCTGAGTAGCCAGTGGTAGCTCCTGGGCTAGCTGCTCTCGAACTATGTTTGGTTTGCTGGGAAATGGTAGCCCTAGGTAAAGGGCAATGGTACTGTGTTGTGGTCATTTGGGGTCCCTACATATACTTGGACGCGCAGCCTGTCCTGTGTGATCACCTAAATGGTGACCACAGACACAGGGAATTTGCTGGAATGGATTGCAGAATGGAGCTGCATGTATTGGGCACTCTGGACCCTCCCGAATCCCTGTGTTCATGAGGGTGGAAGCCCAGACCCGCCTTGAAGGTGAGAACTGCGAGCAGAGGAAACCCTTACCTTGGGCTTTTGGTCATCTGTCACGTATAGCTTCTCAGGACACTGGGATCCTCACCCACCACACTCATCCCTGCAACTCAGTCACCCTTGAGATCCTCAGCTGCCTCCCCCGGGCTCTGAAGTCCTCTTTGGCGATGATTTAGTGGAAAGTTAACTAGGAGTAACTGCTGCCTTCTGCATTCAAAGCCAGGCTTTAGGAAACTATGTTTTTGTCTTGAATGTGGTAAAGCACAGGAATTTTCAAATTATCAGGACTGCTTTGTGTTCCCCTGAGACTGCACCTTTCACAGTGTCACTGAGAAAAAATGAGCAGAAAATTACCCCTGCTGCTTAGGCTTTTGTAAGAAAATTGGTTTTCGGGACATTTTCTTTGTTCTGACTTTCTCTGGCCCTGAGTGGGGAATAAGTTCATTTTTATTTCATTGAAATCAGAAAGCTATATCTTAAAAAAAAAAAAAAAAGTAACTACCCAGCACTGCAGTTAAAATTGCTTTGCGAAATATAGCCCTGTCCATCCCAGTGGTATGTGAGGGGGTCCCCTACGGCCCTGCTCTGCGCCGGTCACCCCCCAGCAGGCGCCAAACTGAGGCAGGCATCAGGCACACTTGCTGACGCACTCCAGCAGCTCCATCCGGATGGCAATGCGGACGTGCCAGCCCAGCGGGATGAGGCGAATGAAGCGGGAGATGATGGGGGGCCGCAGCAGGTTCTGAACCGTGGAGGTGCGGTCCGAGTTGCCATAGAAGACCTAGAGAGACGGAGGAAATCCTGTCACCATCACATCGGGGGAGGGAAAAGGAAGAAGGGTTCCTTTCTGGAGCTAGCCCCAACTTTTAACTATGGAAATGATTAGAAAGTGGTTTTTTAAGCACAGAGAGTTTGCGGGTGCCCTCCAAAATCTGACCTTGAGTAATTGTCATCACACCTACATTCTCGGAACATCTGGAACTGCACCATCCAATACGGTGGCCACTAGCCAATATGTCTGTTTACACTTCAATTAATTAAAATTAGATTAAAAAATTCAGTTCCTCGGTCACATGAACCACATTTCAAGTGGCCGCCATATTGGACAGTGCAGATGTGAACATTTCCATCATCACAGAAAGCTGTATTGGAGGGTGCTGCTAGAAAATGCCTCTTGACTCATCGCTTTTGAGTTTTTATCCTTTGCATTTTGACATTTTGAAAAGGCCCACATCACACTTACATGTTCCAAAGGTATCCAAAGTAGGGCTGAAGTGAAAACCCGGGCTTGGCTCAGGAGTTGTAAGCCAAAACTTAAATGTGTGTTCCTATTTTGATACAAGTGACGAGTACCTTTTCAACTTGGAAAATGTTTTTTTAAAAAGACATAAAAACTTGGCCAGGCGCAGTGGCTCACGCCTGTAATCCCAGCACTTTGGGAGGCGGAGGCGGGCAGATCGTTTGAGGTCAGGAGTTCGAGACCAGCTTGGCCAACACACAGTGAAACCCCGTTTCTACTAAAAATACAAAAAAATTAGCCAGGTGCGGTAGCGGGCGCCTATAATCCCAGCTACTCTGGAGGCGGAGGCAGGAGAATTACTTGAACTCGGGAGGTGGAGGTTGCAGTGAGCTGAGATCATGCCATTGCACTCCAGCCTGTGCAACAGAGCAAGACTCCATCTCAAAAACAAAAGAAAAGAAAACAAAAAGACATAAAAACTCAAAGGAAGATTCTGGAAAGGGGAGGGTGGTGCCAGAGTAAAGAGAAAGGGGGTTTGCTTAATGTTTTTAAGGATGTAATGTAAAAACATGCTGCGGATGTTTGACTCTATTTCCAAAGAAATCATTCTTTGCCCTCTTACCAAAGTCATGGTGCTCTGCCTGATGCCACGAAGACATTTCATTTCCTTCTGGGATTATCTCCTGAAAATATCTGGCTGTTGCATTTGGCCCCATCCATCCACAAAAAGGGAAGGGCCTGGTCTGCCATGTTCTTGACTTTCTCCGCAGTGGCACTGCCCCACACCACCCTCTCTATTGCAGTTTGTCTTTGAGCCTATTCAAGTCAAGAGCCAGGTGAAGAGAGGGGAGGGTGGAACAGGCTCCACCAGATTGCACAAGTGCAGGGGTGAAGTGCCTCTTTGCAAAGAACCTTCAAGGCCTTCAGAAGCACAGGGCTTGAAAAATTTCTCATGTCTTTTGGAGAAGCCAGCTAATAAGAATAAAAATGAAATGAAATGTCCAAGTATCAAGATGGTTTTTCCTATTGTGTTCAATAGGAACACAACCCATGAACGTCCTTGAAACAACCCATGAATGTCTTGCTGTATAAATTGTCATCAGAGACTTACAAAGCCTTCTGAATCTCAGCTGTACATGTCTACTTAACCTGATTAAATGTCAAAATTAGCCTGGGGAACTCCTTACTCTTAGGCAAAAGGATGTTTAACATTTCCAAAGAGCTAGTGAGTTTTTAATTCATTTTTATTCATAGCAAATACATATATAGTCAGAAGTCTACTGTGTTTAGTCTATGGTGAAGAAGACTTCGGTCTCAATCCACAAAGATTAATAGGATGTAGAGTTGCCCAAAGGTTTAAGTTCCTCTGTGTTTGTGCTGGTGAAGTCCTTTTAACCATTTAGCTAATGGGTAACTTGCTAGGTTCTCAAAAGGCTCCCCTCTGTCAGTCTCAAACAATAGGAGAGGCCACATCTATATAAACGGACGATTCTCTACCCACATCAATAACATCAGACAACACCCGTGAAGCAAAGTGCATTCAATGATCCAGTGAGTTGAAATAGTCCAAATGGTCAGTCTTAAGAATTCAGGCAGCTACATACTGATATGGAAACTCAGACAAATTTTTTTTGCACTGAAGAGTAGCACTCATTTGCAAACAAACTGTGCTGGGAACCAAGGCAAGCCCAGGAAAGAGAGCACAGCACATTGTGGGGGAAAGCGCAGATGACCCACCATGCCGCGGAGTCAGTGCTCTGACAGAGGGCAGTGACAGGAGTGCAGGGACAGGAGGGGAAGTCCCAGAGGGTGTGAGCTGAAGGTAGTTTGGGATAAGCCCAACTTACCCGGTTATTTCCAGTCTGATCCTTATAGTAAATCCAGTTGAGGCGCTCATCGGTCCTGTACTGCACGCTGTACTTGGTCATCCACTCATCGATGTCACAGCGCCCCTGGGTAAGGATCCCTGAAATCACCTTGATCTCCTTCAGATCTATCTGTAACCACTGGCTACTGTCCTGGAACTTGGAGAGCCAGGCGCACCTGCCGAGAACATACCAAGTCACCGGGAGACTTCTCCTGTGCATGTCTGCAAAAAGCCGGCAGGTGCTGGCTTTCGAGGGGATGCCAACATCCGAAGAGCCCCCTGCCAAGCTCGGGCAGTCTGGGCTGCAGTCTGAGCCTTATCTCCTAGGAATGTCCAGCTTCTGTTGTACTTAACTTGCATCTCATTCTCCCTCTCCCTGCACCTCCACCTCCTGAGAAAAACTTTCCAGATTAATTTGTCAAAGAAATGCCTCAGAGTGTGGCTGAAATTGCCTTTGGGAGCAGTTGAACATGTCTGTCTGCAAAACATTCAGGTGCATGGCTGTTAGACCACCAGCCCCTGCCCTCTGCATGCGTCTCCCGGGGTGATTCTTTCTGCACATTTCACTCTCTTCACACCTATTTGTGTTTCCCTCAGATGGTGACATTCCTGCCTCATGCAGAGCACTGACCCAAGTGGATCTAGAAGGGCTTTGACAAGCGTCAAGCCAGATAACCGTTGAAGCAACTAAATTTGTTTATTTTAGCTACATTCCTCATAAACTGTGGAAACCTATAGTAGTCCCCCCCCACCACCTCCTTTTTTCCCTTTAATGTGTATTTTAATTAACTTTGTAGGACTTAAGCCCTGGGCCACCTTCCCTTCTTTTTCCAGACTTACTCCTTGGGTGGCTCCTGACTTTTCACTTCTATCCCAGACCTTTCCTAAATCCCAAATCCAGAGAGTTCAGTTGCCAGCTAGAGGACTTCTGTATGCCTCTCGGCATCTCAGATGAAACACATCCCAATGTGAGCCCCTAAGTGCCCCCACCCCATCCCGCTTTCAGACCCCACGTCTCTGAGTAAACCCCATCCTCGCATGCATCCATGTCGGCCACCTGAGAACCATCCCTCCTCTCCACCTCCAGCGCCCAATCCATCTGTTGGCTCCATCTCCAAGTGCCTCAAATTCCTCTACTTTTGTCGGTCTCCCCCGCCACCACTCTAGCCCATGCCCCCTCCTTTCTCGCCACACCTCAACTACTCTCCCTGGATTGCTCTGGCCCCACAGGAACCAGAGAACTTAAAACACAAATGTGCTTGCGATCGTCTTCGACTTAGAAATCTTTATCCGACAGAGTCTGCTAATCATCACCTGATACTCTCTTCCCATCCTCATTTGGTAATAGAACCCCTGAGTTTCATCTGGGCAAACGGTCGTCTGGCTAAGATGACATTGGTTAGTCTCCCTTGCAACTAGGTGGGGCCCCCTAACCAAACTCTGGTCAATGGGATGTGGGCAGAAGTGGCCAATAGAATATGTTTGTGTTCTTAAAGGCAAATCATGCACGCTCTGCTGCTCTTTTGTTTCTCCCCACTAACTAGAATGTGGATGTGATGGTAGAAGAGAGAGACACCATTCTGGACCCCAAGATAGACGCTTCATGTCAAGGACGACAAAACAACAAGGTAGAGTCTGGGCCCCTCATGCCATCAAGCTGCCGTAACAACCCTAGACTGCTGAATGAAACTTTTTCTTTCTGAGACAGTCTTGCTGTGTTGCCCAGGCTGGTGTACAGTGGCGCACAATCTCGACTCACTGCAACCTCTGCCTCCCAGGTTCAAGCAATTCTTCTGCCTCAGCCTCCCAAGTAGCTGGGATTATAGCCACCCGCCACCATGCCCAGCTAATTTTTGTATTTTTAGTAGAGATGAGGTTTCACCATGTTGACTAGGCTGGTCTTGAATGCCTGACCTCAGGTAATCTGCCCACCTCGGCTTCCCAAAGTACTAGGATGACAGGCGTAAGCCACTGTGCCTGACTGATGAATGAAACTTTTAAGTGAGCAAGAAACACACTGCTATATTAAGTCACCATACTTTGGTGCTCTTTGTTACAATAGCACGAACCTGTATGCTAATTAATATGCACTCAGGGTCCTCCCATTATCCCTACAGTATGGACCAGTCACTAACATGGCTTCTAAGGTCCTGTACCATCTGACCTCTGCCTGCCTCTCCACCTTGTCTCACCTGTGCTTCAGCCTTGCTGCCCTCTTTATGTTCCCCATCTACACCCTACAGGGATCATCCCAACTCAGAGCTTTTGCACCTGCTGTACCCCACGCCTCTTCCCCTCCCTCACCTGGCCAACTTCAAGTCACAGGTCAAATATGTTTTCCTTAGAAAGCCTTCCCTGGCTGCATGGATGAGGTCTTTCTTCCTTCATCTCTCCCGCAGCACTCATAAGTACATTCTGTGTCATTTGTTTATTAGAGAGACCTATTTTTTTTTTCTTTTTTGAGACAGGGTCTCACTCGGTCGTCCAGGCTGTAGTGCAGTGGTGTGATCTCGGCTCACTGTAACCTCCGCTTCCCAGGTTCAAGCAATTCCCCTGCCTCAGCCTCCTGAATAGCTGGGATTACAGGCACGTGCCACCACACCAGCTAATTTTTTGTGTTTTTAGTAGAGACGGGTTTCACTATATTGGCCAGGCTGGTAGAGAGGCCTATTTTTTAAAAAAACACATGAAAAAAAATCCCCTGGGCCCTGCTTACCCAAAGCCTTGACTGTTGAGCCGGGCCTTGTTTGCAGTCCACGAGGAATACCAGCCCACATACTGCTCCGGGTTAGAGCAGGTGATCTGGTCTGGTGTGACCTCCCCTGACTCGAAACCCAGGGGCTTGTGATATGGGCATTCTGGGAAAGGAAAAAGAATTCACATTGAAACACATATCTCAATACTCAACAAGCACCAGGTGACTGAAATAACAAAACAAACCCATCTGCTATGTGCTTCGGAGATGGAGAAGGCTTTACCTGTCTCTGTGGTTCACAATGGTTACAGCTGGGTCTTCAACGGTTCACTACTCATGCGAGAAAGGAATGAAGGATGATGTAAGGAATTGCCACAGAGACTCACAGCCTTTGTAAAAGCAGAGGGAAGTGGCTCTATGGCAACTTCACAAGGGGTGTGCGGAATTTTGAGAAATACTTCACCTCCTCCACCAACTTAGAGATCTAAAAACCAAGAGGTGCAGAGTAAAATACCATATTTAAATGCCATACATCTTTATTTCCCCCATTAACACAGATTTAGCCATCCTGCCTGATGACGTCAGGTCTCTCATTGTCCTTGGGCAGTAGATGATGCCAATTATAGGGACAAAACCACAGTGAGAGGCAAGAAGGGCGATTACGTATTGAGATATTGAGAGTGACTTCCTACTTGTAAATTGCAGTTTTCTCACCAGTCTAATTAAAAAAAAAAAAAAATGGGTGAAATGTGCCTGGGGGACTGTTGAGTGAGAAACAGCTAAAAGGAACTGCTTTTTCCCAGTGGTAGTAGCCAAAGGTGGTTCTTCTGTGTTAATTGTCTCCTGCTTCCTCTCGTCTGTGTGTCCCCTCACAGTAAAAACAGTGTTGAGGTTGGGCACTGTGGCTCACGCCTGTAAGGCCTAGGTGGGCGGATCACGAGGTCAAGAGATTGAGACCATCCTGGCCAACCTGGTGAAACCCCGTCTCTACTAAAAATACAAAAATTAGCCGGGCATGGTGGTGTGTGCCTGTGGTTTGAGCTACTTGGGAGGCTGAGGCAGGAGAATTGCTTGAACCCAGGAGGTGGAGGTTGCAGTGAGCCAAGGTGGTGCCTGCAGTGGCAGGCACAGTTTTTGAGTTACCTGGTCAGAGGCTGCCAGTTTTTAACCCAGTATTCATTCATTCTCCCCTTCTTTTTCTTTTTTTTTTTTTCTTTTGAGACAGGGTCTTGCCCTGTCCTAGGCTGGAGTGCAGTAGAGTGCAAGCGATCCTGCCACCTCAGCCTCCCGAGTAGCTGGGACCACAGGTGCACACCACCACACCCGGCTAATTTTTGTATTTTTTGTAGAGATGGGATTTTGCCATGTTGCCCAGGCTGGTCTCGAACTCCTGGGCTCAAGGGATCCACCCACCTTGGCCTCCCAAGGCACTGGGGATTACAGATGTGAGCCATCATGCCCAGCTTCCCCTTCTTTTTGACTAAAGAGCTCCCCTTTTATTGGGAGCAGCAATGTAGCCAGCTGAATAAAGGGCCTTTCCCAGCCTTCTTTGCAGTTAGAAGTGCCCACGTGACATAACTTCTGACCAATGAGATATAAAGACTGCCTGCTGGGATTTCTGGTCAGGTTTTGCTTTCCCCTTCTTTCTTCCTGTTGCCTAGACTACGTCTGATTGCTGATGTGACAGTTGCCATTTTGCACCATGTGGGTAAGGCCAAGAGAACTGCAGAGGCCAAGTGCAGTGGCTCATGCCTGTAATTCCAGTGCTTTGGGAGGATCACTTGAGCCCAGGAGTTCAAGACCAGCCTGGGGCAACATAGGGAGACCCTATCTCGTGGCTCACACCTGTAGTTCCAGCTACCAGGGGAGGCTGAGGCAGGAGGATTGCTTGAGCCCAGGAGTCTGTGGCTGCAGTAAGCCATGATCACACCACTGCATTCCAGCCTGGGTGACAGACCCTGTCTCAACAAAACAAAAAACAAAAAAACAAAACAAAACAAAACTGCAGAGACCTCAGCCTTGATAACCTTAAGTATTATAACTCTCTACCCCTAATTTTTTTTTTTTTACCATGTGAGTTAAAACTCCTAAATCAATAAGCCAGTATTTAGGGGGTCTTGTACTTATAACCAAACCCAGTTCGTAACTGAATTTCTACAGAAAACAAATGGCAAATGTATTTTCCTTTTTTTGTTAGAGACCCGGTCTCGCTGTGTCGCACAGGCTGGAGTGCCACGCTGCAGTCATAACTCTCTGCAACTCTAACTCCTGGGCTCAAGCTATCCTCCCACCTCATTCTCCTAGTTTTCTGATGATGAGTGATAAACTGCAATTAAGGCAAATCATAGTATTTTCTCCATCTGTAAATTTGAGTTCAGGTTGAAGGGCTGAACATATTCACTGAGGCACCATTACCTGTAACCATAAAACAAGGGCTGAAGTCTCTCTGGAGAATTTTTCAAAAGCCAGTAAAGTTGAATGAAACATGCTTGCAGAGATGGCCATGCCCTGTCCCCAGAGGCTAAAAACAGGCCAGCTTCAGGCCTCTGGCCAGGGAGGCTTAACTTCCTTTCTGCCCCAATGCACCAAAGGAATAGGCCCAATCCCGCTAGTATCTGCAGCTCTGTGGGGCTGAGGGTGCGGGTACAGAATTTGTAGTTTATTGAGTACTCAAGACTTTGGGAGTCTGTTACGTTCATGTCAGTTTCCGGGAGAGAGAAGAGGAGCACTTTGTGGGCCACTCAATCATGCCTTGTGTGGCGGGCGAATCCTCAGGGGAGCTTATTAAGAATGCAGTGTCCAGGACTCCACCTCAGAGCAACTGCATTTTTAACAAGCTCATTTTTGAAAGTGCACTTTGAAAACCTTGGCCTGCCAAGGAAGACATTCTGTGGGCTGGAGATCCGGAGGACTGAGTGCCTGTGGACTCAAGGGCTCCTCCACCCCCGCGACACCCCTCCAGCTGGGAAGACAAGCCCAAGCGATCAGGAGGAGGGGCACAGGACCAGGTGGCAGGGATTTTTCATGGGCAAAATTCTAACCTTGGGTGTCTCTGAGGCCCCTCCACTTTGAGCATTTGATGACTGAACCGCCTTTTTTTTTTTTTCCCCCCCCCTCAGGGCCACCAGCTCTGAGGGAGTAGACAGAGGGGAAGGGAAAAAGCCAGTGCCACCTCTCCCAGTCACCTTATTCTTTGCACTTTGCTCTTCTTCGTCTGTTTCCCCTTCACATCTCTTTTGCCATTTCTTCCCAAATAGCCCATCTAACACTTGAGAGCGGTCTGTAGGCCTGCGGGTGTACTTGGCCAGGGCCAATGGCCTTGACAGCCTGGGAGGGCCTGTTGAGGCAGCGGAGAATGTGTGACTCACTGCGATCTAAAGACCCGTGTGTCCAGACATGGATGCTGTACTTACTCCCCAGGGAAGATGACAATCTCACTGTCACCTTGGCTTTAGCTGGTGTCTGGGAGCCGATGCCTGACTCCTAGGCCCCAAGCTTCATTCCACTGCCCTCTGAATATTTTCCAGGAGAAAACTTCCGCCGTGGTGACCCAAAGAAGCCTCACACTCCGTATGTCCCAGATGGAGTCCTTCATCGTCCAACCTCCAGTCCTGCTCCCTATCCAGTGCTCCAGGTCCGAGGCACTTCCATATTCCCGACACTCCAGGTCCGAGGCACTGATGCTTTCAGCTGCCTAACCCAGCAACCTGGTAAGCAGAGACTCTAGACTGGTGGGGCTCAGCCTGGGCTGCACCTCGGAATTGCCTGAGGAGCTGTAGAAATGCTGATGTTCGGGCCACACCCCCAGGGATTCTGACATCATTAGCCTGGGCACTGGGACGAGGCTGCCGGTGAGGGTAATGGGCAGTCAAGGTCAAGCAGGCTTGCATCCAGCCAATGACACCTGGGGTAGGGGCCCACCCTCTCAGCGTGCATGCAGGCCAGCTGCTTAACCTCTCTGGGTCTCAGTCTCCTCATCTGTGAAATGGGGCACGATGTAGTACCTGTCTTCATAAAATTGCTGTAAGATTAAGTGAAAGTATTTGGAGATTGTAGAATTCGTAGAGCACAGTGTCTGGCCAAAAAGCACCAGGTACATGACATTAGTGAAGGTGAATTCGTGAGACTACATTGACACGTTCTTGAATTTTGCATGTTTTTCTGGCGAAGACTCAATAGGGAGGAAATCCAATGCCCCTCTATCCTACTCTGTTCTGTCCCCATTACCCTCCCCCCCTCCACCACCACAGCCCCCCGCCACACCCTCCAGAGAATGAGGCCAGCTTCATGTGACTAATGAATGGTTTCAGCTCTCCTTGCCCCAGGCAGGAGCAAGTGTGTGTGTGTGTGTGTGTGTGTGTGTGTGTGTGTGTGTATGTGTGGGGGTGTGTGTGTGTGTGTGTGTGAGAGAGAGACAGAGAGACAGAGAGAGGGAAGTGAGAGAGAAACCTTGTCAAAAGCATCCCTCAGGCTTATGGACCTGGAAGATCTAGGCCTCACCAGGAATTAGTGCATTACCCAAGAGAAGGAGGTGACAGCCCCAGCTAAAGTAGCAGGGATGTGGCGAGGGCCTGAGCGCAGCAGGGAGGGACCTGATTCCCCTGAGGGGCTGGACTGGGATGGGTCTGGGAGCCCTGAGCTCTGGGCATGCTCAGAAAACTTGGGAAGGTCCCTCAGACTGAGTTTGGCTCAGAGGGAGAGGAGCCACTCGCGAGACATCCGCCTTCCAATGGGGCTGTGGCCAGGCTGCCCTCGCAAGCTCATGGGGGGTTCATGTAGTCTAAAGGGGGAGAAAAGACCTTCAAAAATCCTGTCCGCAGACTCCTCACAGGCCATTACAAGGGGGCAGTCCGGCTAGATTTCTCCTAACATGGAAAAATAGAAAATGTGACATTTCCCACACTGTGTGTGCCATGAAGAAGAGCACACTTCAGTTCTTTTATTGTGATTTTTCCTGACTTCTTCTTCTCCTTTCCTCTTCCTTCTGTGGGCCTGGTTGAACTCTTCTCAGGTCCACATGTAGCCTGCAGGCCTTCCCTGAGGCCATCCCCTCCCGTCCACACCCCTCCGTCTACCCCCCGACGCCTCAGCCTTCAGATCTCTGCCTGCCCTGAGGCAGCTGAGGGGCCCTGGTGCTACCTCCCCAGCACCCTCCCCACCTGTCACACACCCCTCCTCCTTGGGCATACTTCACTGCCATCTTCTCTTGCCTGCCTCCCTCCCCATTCTCCCCCCAGCGAGCAGAATGCCCACAGGTGCTGGGCACTCTCTAGATATTGACTAGACAGATGGATGGAGGGATGAATTAACAAATGCCGACGGCCCATCTTGGGTGCCCACTGGGGACGAACATAGGAAATGGCATTTCGAAACAGGCAGCAGAGGCCTCAGGGAAGAAGTAGACACCGATTGTGACCTCTGGCCTAATCAAAAGAAGCCATAAATTGAGTAGATGCTAGAAGGCAACCTCAATAATGTTGTGAAAGAATTAAGGGGCTCCAAGGCTGGGTGCAGCGGCTCACACCTGTAATCCCAGCACTTTGGGAGGCTGAGGAGGGAGGATCACCTGAGGTCAGGAGTTCAAGACCAGCCTGGCCAACACGGTGAAACCCCATCTCTACTAAAAATACAAAAATTAGCCGAGTGCAGTGGTGGGTGCCTGTAATCCCAGCTACTTGGGAAGCTGAGACAGGAGAATCTGTTGAACCCAGGAGGCAGAAGTTGCAGTGAGCCGAGATCGCACCACTGCACTCCAGCTCGGGCAACAGAGCCAAAACCTGAGGGGACCCTTATCAGACACACACAGAATATGACCTTCCTGAGTTTTCTGCCCAATGTCACTTTGTTATTGCAGCTATTAGACCTGTTTCTATACTCATTTCACCCTTAGGGAAAAGCCTACATCTTCTGTGGCTCAAATGGCTCTTCTGAGCCATGATGTGATCATTAGATAGATAAAGGCATGTTTGCAATATGTTGCCAGCCCAAGGCTGTGTATATTTCATATTCTAGCCTTTTTACTTTAGTGGCTAATTTCTGGGTTTGTAGGCAGGCTTATAAAGAATGCAGATCTAAAGAAACACAGAATTCAGGGACTTTCTTAACACAAGATTCCAGACAGATGTGAATAGTGTTATGCATAGATATTAGACTTGAATATATGTGACAATATAGTAGAGTACAGGAGAAAATATGTAGAATAATATTTCTGGAAGAATGGACTATAAGTTCAAACATCATATAGAAGAGAAAATCTAGAATCAAAATGAAGCGTTAGCAAAGCAGTGGATTTATTATACTTTTGATAATTTCCCTACCCTATTTTTTGCTCTCAGAGTGCCGGGGTAATCTTGGCTCAACGGTGGAAAAGACAGAGCTTTTAGTATTTTTAATAGCATTAAAGTGAAGATTAGGAGGCCAGAATGCATGTGGCCTTCTGCTCCGTGGGGGGCCTGGGCATTAGCCAGAGTGCACCTGTTAGCACCTCCTGGCAGCTCTGAGTGACCCCGCTGTCCTTCTGTGCTTTCCAGGGTTCTCTTTCTTCGTGAGATAGGCTATGAGGGAAGCCCTGATTCACAGGACCCAGACAAACGAAGCTGCGTTCCTGACATACCATGAGAATCTGCGGCACTGACAGGCAAGTGACTTTTGCAAGCCTGTGTCTGGTTCCAATGCCCTGAATCATCTATCTCATGGAAGAACGAATTAACACCAATGAATCAACCATTAGCGCTGAGGTTGAGTTTTCCTTTCTTAAAATATCTGCGTTGTTAAGAACAAAAACCAGGGCCAGGTGTGGTGGCTCACGCCTGTAATCCCAGCACTTTGGGAGGCTGAGCGGGCAGATTGCCTGAGCTCAGGAGTTCGAGACCAGCCTGGGCAACACAGTGAAACCCCGTCTCTACTAAAATACAAAAAAAAAATCAGCTGGGCCTGGCAGTGCGCACCTGTAGTCCCAGCTACTCGGGAGACTGAGGCAGGAGAATTGCTTGAACCTGGGAGGTGGAGGTTGCAGTGAGCCGAAATCACGCTACTACACTCCAGCCTGGAAGACGGAGCGAGATTCCGTCTCAAAAAAAGAAAAAAGAAAACAAAAACAAAAACAATGGAGAGGGGAGAGCACTTAAGCTAAAAGAATTTCTAATTTTTGAACCTCAAGCTCATGACAGCTGTGTAGGGGAGACAGCTTTGGGGACCAGGGTCAACATCACATCCCTCAAACACATGACTCTTCTCTCCTTTTGTTTTTTTTTTTTTTTTTTTTTTTGGGACAGGGTCTCTGTTGCCCAGGCTGGAGTGCAGTGATATGACTATGGCTCACTGCAGCCTCAACCTCCTAGGCTCAAGCAATCCTCCCACCTTTGCCTCCCGAGTAGCTGGGACTACAGGCACACGCCACCATGCCCCCCCATCCAGAGATGGGGTTTTGTCATGTTGCCCAGGCTGCACATGGCCCTTCTTGAAGTGGCAAACTTGATTGGGTCAATGAAGCCAATCCACATAAACAATGTCTTTTCAATTTCTTCTTACACAGAACTTAGTTGGAATGGAATTCCAGGAGGTCTCATGTCTCTAGTGAAAAGAACATTCGTGACCACTAAATGGTAAATTTCTCTAAGGTGGAGACAATGCCTTCATTGCTGTCTCCTTGTCAGTGCCTGACACATCATAGGCACATGTTGAAAGACGGGTGAATTGAGTTATAAATGGAATGAGGGTGCGTCAATATTGACTGAGTCAATCATACCAACATTTAATGGCTGCATGAGCTCATGCCATGGAGCCTGATGGGATGTCCCATAGGAAAAGCCCATCGGTTTCCTCACGATTAGGACCCCACAGTTCCCTTGGAAAACAAACTTACTTCAGAAATGACTTTCCCTTCAGAAAATAGGAAAATCACGCAGTAGAAGCCATTGTACCCTACCCTCCCACACACACATTGCAATTTGCTTTTTTAATGCAAATTTAATGAAATAATGAAAAGAGCCTCACACACAGACACACAAACCTGTCTCTGGTGAAGCTATTATTAGGCAATTGTGTAAAGTAAATGAAGTGGCACGATACCATCATAACCCTGGAGAGGCAGCAAGGCCAGTTTCATGCAAAACAAGCTCTGAGCATGGAAAGGATTTAAGCATTGCAAATATTTGCAGGGACTGCCCAAGCCTCTGAAAATTGGATCTGCTCGCTCCCTCCTCAGAGTGTGAGCTCTTAGGAGGCTGGTAGAAAAGAAACCAACCTTTATTCAACAGTGTGCTAGTACCCCACAGGCTGCTTTAATGCCTCATCTTATTTATTCCTTGTTTACAACCCCGTAGAGCAGAGGTCAACAAACTATGACCCATGGGCCACATCTGGCCCTCTGCTTGTTTTGTAAATAAAGTTTTATTGGAACCCAGCCATGCTTGAGCATTTACATATTGTTTATGACTGCTTTCCAACACAAGGGCAGAATGGACTAGTTGTGACAGACTATTTGGTCCACAAAGCCACAAATATTTCCTTACTCCTCCTTTACAAAGTTTGCTGGGCCCTGTCTTAGACATAGGCTACATCAGCTGCAGAACAAATTGGCCTGGAAATTTCAGAGGCTCCACAAAACACAGGTTTATTTTTCACTCAGGCGACTGGTCTACCATGGGTAGGCAGGGGGTTCTGCTCCACGTGATCAGCCTGAGACCAGGTTGCAGGAAAAGCCACTATCTCAACAGGTGGCTTCACAGCAGGAAAGGGAGAGCCAGAGAGTTGAGTGCCAGCCCTTCAGTGCCATTTTGGAAGTGGCCAGCTCACTTTGGCTGGAGCTGTTTGGATGGCACCGCCTGATTAATTACAAGGGGACTGGGCAATGGGAGGGAAGCACGTGGCTGTTTGGTGAACAAGCAGTATCCAGGCATGGTACTATCATCACCTCCATTGGACAGACAAGGAAAAAAGTGGCAGTCCCAGAGTTCAGATGTGACACAGCCAGGATTCCAGCCCTCATCTTCCTGGCTCTAGAGCCTGTGCTCTTTTCAAAATTCCAGGCTGACTAGCATTAATTTCTTTTCTTTCCCGTTTTTGTTTTTTTTTTTTTTTTTTTTTTTTTTTTGAGACAGCCTCTTGCTCTGTCATCCAGGCTGGAGTGCAGTGGTACGAGATCACTACTCACTGCAACCTCCACCTCCCGGGTTCAAGCAATGCTCCCACCTCAGCCTTCTGAATAGCTGGGACCACAGGTGCAAGCCACCACACCCAGATAATTTTTGTATTTTTAGTAAAGACAAGGTTTCACCATGTTGCCCAGGTGAGTCTCAAACTCCTGAGCTCAAGCAGTCCACCCGCCTCGGTCTCCCAAAGTGCTGGGATTACAGGCGTGGGCCACTGTGCCCGTCCACCCGTTAATTTATTTTCAATCAGTCCCATTCATCGATTTCATTGAAAGTTAGGTCCCATCCTACCATCTCAACCTGGAGACATGGAGATCTAGGGAGCTGTTTCTAGACACTGACATCACGCCATGTGTTGAAGCAGGGACCAGTGTGAGATTCGAAGCTCAGAGGCCAACTGGAGAAAACCCACATTAACATAGGCTTAATAATAGTAATAAATAAACACACACAGCTACCATTCATCTTTCATTCTAAAGATGGGGGTAGCGTTCAGGAGGTTAATTCAGCTGAGTGGGAAAAAGGAAGAGAAATGGGGTGTTCCCAATGACTGTTCCATCCCAAGGACAGGGGATACTCACCTGGTATGCAGTCCAAGGAGGTGGCACCTGCAGACCACAGAGCATTGGGTCCTCCTTGGCAATCACACTTGCATGCTTTTTGGTACCAGGGGTCCTCGCCTTCATCCTGCAGCCAACCAGAGAGGCAGGGCAGAAAAGTCATGGTCAAAGGCAACTGTGGTTGCCACCTCTGGAGTGATCACACTCATTCCTTATGCATCGTCTATAGCAGCTTTGCTGCAATGGCCAAATTGAGCTATTAATCCAGCCTTAATACACACAGCTACCACTCATCTTCGGTTCTAAATAAGTAAATGTCTGCCACCCTGGGCGACCAACTAATAATCTCATGGATACACCCATCTAGAGGGCACCGTTCACCCCATTATAGTGTCTTCAGGAGTTTGGGGAGCCCCAATCCAAGTTTAGACTCTTCACATCCCCTGGAAGTTCCTATGTGGAGATAGATTCAAGATTGTGCCATCTGATTGAAGACCTGCTTTACTTTCATTCTCTAATTCAAACACCAGTCGTGGAGCTTGCCTAGGTCAAATGTGCTACTGCCACCATCACCAAAAAAATACTTTATTTATTTTTTTTGAGACAGAGTCTCGCTCTGTCGCCCAGGCTGGAGTGCAGTGGTGTGATCTTGGCTCACTGCAGCCTCTGCCTCCTGGGTTCAAGCGATTCTCTTGCCTCAGCCGCCTGAGTAGCTAGGATTACAGGTGTGTACCACCACACCTGGCTAATTTTTATATTTTTTATGTAGAGACAGGGTTTCATCATGTTGGCCAAGCTGGTCTCAAACTCCTGACCTGAAGTGATCTGCCTGCCTCGGCCTCCCAAAGTGCTGGGATTACAGGCATGAGCCACCATGTCCAGCCAAAATATATTTCAAAATACATTTAAAAACAAACAAACAAAGTGATAGTCCTGTATGTTATTTTTGGTTGGGAAAATTTTCAAAAGCACTATGCCTGTACATTCCAGCCTCCTTACTGTTACGTACCTCGGTAGACGATAATCCCAATGTGGCTAAAGCAAAAGGATGAGACAGAAAAAAATCTAATTAATAAAAGAGAAATCCAACAGCATCACTCATTACATGGAAAAGTGAAATAGAAATAGTCACATGAAAGCTACCAACACCCCTTCTGGAAGAAGTCATGGTAAGTAAATATCTGCCAGGAAAAACATCCCCAGATGCTAAGAAGCTGGGGACAGTAAAATTAAACAGAAAGAACAAGATCATCATTATAGGCTGGGCACAGTGACTCACACCTGTAATCCTAGCACTTTGGGAGGCCGAGGCGGGCCTATCACTTAGGCCAGGAGTTCGAGACCAGCCTGGGCACTATGACAAAACCCTGTCTCTACAAAAAATACAAAAATTAGCCAGGCATGGTGGCACATGCCTGTAATCCCAGCTACTCGGGAGGCTGAGGCACGAGAATCGTTTGAACCCAGGAGGCGGAGGTTGCACCACTGCACTCCAGCCTGGGTGACAGAGTGAGACTCTGTCTCAAAAAAAAAAAAAAGATAATCATGGCCGGGTGCAGTGGCTCACGCCTGTAATCCCAACACTTTACAAGGCCAAGGCGGGTGGATCACGAGGTCAGGAGTTTGAGACCAGCCTGACCAACATGATGAAACCCCATCTCTACTAAAAATACAAAAATTAGCCAGGTGTGGTGGCATGCGCCTGTAATCCCAGCTACTCAGGAGGCTGAGGCAAGAGAATTGCTTGAACCCGGGAGGTGGAGGTTGCAGTGAGCCAAGAAGAGTAAGACTCCGTCTCAAAAAAAAAAAAAAAGATAATATTTTTGTTCGTTATAGAATTTTGGAAACTACATAATGTAGCAAAGTGGACAGGGCAGGGAGAGGAAAACACCTATATTTGTTACCACTAAAGCCAACACTGTTAACATTTTAGTATAAATATTTTCTGTCATTTTTCTATGTGTATTTTTAAATATATTTGAGAACCTACTATCTAAACAATGTTGTATCCTGCTTTCCCTTTCACTTAACAGTGTGAAGATTTTCTGTCATCTTTCTCTTCCTTCCTTCCTTCCTTCCTTCCTTCCTTCCTTCCTTCCTTTCTTTCCCTCCCTCCCTCCCTTCCTTCCTTCCTTTCTTTTTTTTGAGACGGAGTTTCGCTCTTGTTGCCCAGGGTGGAGTGCAATGGCGCGATCTTGGCTCATTGCAACCTCCGCCTCCTGGGTTCAAGCGATTCTCCTGCCTCAGCCTCCCAAGCAGCTGGGATTACAGGCGCCTGCCACCACGCCAGGCTAATTTTTTGTATTTTTAGTAGAGACAGCGTTTGACTATGTTGGCCAGGCTGGTCTCGAACTCCTGACCTCAGGTGCTTCTCCTGCCTCATCCTCCCAAAGTGTTGGGATTACAGGCATGAGCCACCATGCCTGGCCCCAGGTTTTTCTTATTAAATCTTCATCATCATCATCATCATCATCATCATCCCTATTGCCTGCCCAATGTGCTATTCAGGAGCTGATTCCCAGTTCCCTCACTGTGCCACAATTCGGTGATTTAGGATCAAGACATTATTTAGAAATTATTTTATAGGTTTGTCTATAATGCACAGGAAATATCAAACCACAATCAAAGTATAAGTACCATATACACAATGTGGGAAAATTGAAAGTGTGCAAAATTTAACATAAAACTGACATATAAACTCTCTTTATAGAAGCATGAATAAAGAGAATGAATTCACACTTTAACAGGTAAAGTTTGCATATATTAGCAGAAACTGATTGTTTAAAGCTTCACTGTCCAATGTAGTCGTGACTAGTCGCACGTGGTATTGGAATTTAATTAAAATTGGCCGGGCGTGGTAGCTCATGCCTGTAATCCTAGCACTCTGAGAGGCTGAGGCAGGCTGATCACTTGAGATCAGGAGTTCGAGACCAGCCTGGCGAACATGGTAAAACCCCGTCTCTACTAAAAATACAAAAATCAGTTGGGCGTGGTGGCAGGCACCTGTAATCCCAGCCACTTGGGAGGCTGAGGCAGGAGAATCACTTGAACTCGGGTTGCAGTGAGTTGATATTGCCCCACTGCACTCCAGTCTGGGCAACAGAGTGAGACTCTGTCTCGAAAAATAAAATAAAATTAATTAAAATGATCAAAATAAAAAGTTCAATTCTTCAGTCAAACCAGCCACATTTCAAGTGCTTCAGAGCCACATGAAGCTAGTGGCTACTGTACTGGCTAAGAAGATACAGAACGTTTGCATCATCGCAGAAGGTTGCATTGGACGCTGCTGGTTTAAAGCACTGATGGGGTGCAGGAAATGCTACCGCCAAATAGGGCACCTGGACACACAACGAAACTGAGAAAACTGCAGAAGCAGGAAGGCCTCTCGGAGCTGCTCCCGCCCCCTCTCTCCTGAAGCTGGTCATAGAAACAAAAGCAGCCCTTGCCCCTTTCTCTCCTGAAATGGGTCACAGAATTCCGTTCACTCCGTCTTCCCTGAAGCAGACCCTCAAACCTAGGAAGGTCAGTCTACTCTTCTGCCCTGAAGACCCTCACGTGACAGGTGTCCCGCCCTATACCCGGAGGAAAGGAATATCACACAGGAGCGCCAACACAAACCTGAACAAACAGGCCTTGTTATGCTTTTCTCATTTATTACCATTAGATCGTACCCTCTGATCCTCCAATCATATTTCCACACAACTGCCCACAAAAATGCACAGATCTTCCTGTTTCGTTGGGTCTTCATTTCTGAAAGCTCCTGTGCCATGTAAAACTTATGAAATAAGTGTGGATAGTGTTCCCTCATTAATCTGTCTTTTGTTGTAGGGGTCTCAGCCATGAACCTTGAGATAAGTGAGGAAAAGCGATTACTTTTTCTCCCCTATACCACCAAAACTCCATTTTCCAGACTTTTTTCTTTTTTCTTTTGAGACTGGCTCACTGCAACCTCTGCCTTCTGGGTTCAAGCGATTCTCCTGCCTCAGCCTCCTGAGTAGCTGGGATTACAGCCACCATGCCCGGCTAATTTTTGTACTTTTAATAGAGACTGCGTTTTGCCATGTTGCCCAGGCTGGTTTTGAACTCCTGACCTTAGGTGATCCACCAGCCTTGTCCTCCCAAAGTGCTGGGATTACAGGTGTGAGCCACCACACCCGGCCTTCCCAGACATTTTGAACAAAACAAATATCTTTCTTTCTTTTCTGATGATAAAAAAATTTCAAACAAAAGCTGAGTGTAAAAAATGGAAATAAAAGTCCCTCCTTTAACCACTTTGCTATTTAAAAAGTGAATCTGATGCTCACAAAAAGCTTTTAAAAACCACACACAAAGCCTTTATCATCACAATCATAAAAGCTTTAATTTCAATAATACACATTTCCCTGTTCTGCAACCACTTTTTTTGTGTCCACTGTAGGCCCGGCACTATAGTAGGGCCCGGGCCTTCTGAAATGGAAGCCTCACTCTGCTCACAAGGGGCTTGAAGACCCAGGAGAAGACAGGCCACTGCACCATGCCCATGGTGAGTACTTCCATGGGCTATGCAGGGGCTGCAGTGGGAGTGAAGCGCACATGTGTCTTAGCCTAGGAAGATTCAGGGCCGCCCTCACCTGCAGCCACCACACTGCTGTCTCTCCTGGGCGCCTGTCCCACTGGTTACTCCCCCGCTACGGGCAGAATCGACCTTCTCAGGTAGCAAGGAAGGTTAGGAAGCGCCATCTTTGTAGGAGGCCACCAGCGTCCCTGCTATGATCTGAATGTTAGTGTCCCCCCAAAATTCATATGTTGAAACCCAATCACCAATGTGGTAGTAGTAAGATGTGGGGCCTTTGGGAGGTGATTAGGCTCTGCCCTCACACATGGGATTAGTATCTGCGTAAAAGAGACCCCAGGGAGCTAGTGAAACAGGAAAGGTCCCCCTTGTCCCCCTCTCAGGGCATTCAAGGGAGCTGTGGCTCGCTTCTTCAGTGCCCGCTGCTCAAACCTCTACGGGAGCATACAGACGGGCAGGCTGTGGAGCTCCAACCCCACGGCAGTGTCTAGGGGTGAATGTTTACAGCTGAGGCCCCAGCGGGCGTGTGTTACAGGGTGCTCTTCTAGTTTGCCGTCTGTAGGCGGCTTGTGTTAGCTCCATTAGACCCCTGCCTTGTCACAAGGGCTTCTTGCCTTGGTGTATTGGAAGAATCAGATCACGTGTGGGCTTGGAGAATGAGTGCAAGGTTTTATTGAGTGGAAGGAGCTCTCAGCAGATGGGGGAGCCAGAAGGATGATGCTTTCCCCCTGGAATTGGGCATGCTAGGTGGCCCCACTCTTCTCTGATAGCCCCGGCCAAACTCCACCTTGTTCCGCTGGTTGATGGCCTGGGGCTGCAGGTGTCTATCGTGTGCTCTTCCGCCGGCGCACTCTTCTCAACGGCCTCTGCACGTCCAGCCACTTGTGTCTTCTTCCGCCAATGTGCTCCTCTCCACGTCCAGCCGCTTGTGTGTCTGCTTGTTAGGGTCTCGGAGTTTTGATAGGCACAGGATGGGGGCGTGGTGGACCAGGGTGGTCTTGGGAAATGCAGCATTTGGGCACGAAAGCAGGAGTGCCTGTCCTCACCTAGGTCCCTGGGCACAGGCCTGGCGGTGGAGCCCGAGGCAGGGACCACGCCTTGCCCCTCTTCCCATCACTAGCTTGCCCCTTCTGCCATGGGAGGGCACAGCAAGAAGGTGCCAGGGATGAAGGAGGAAGCAGGCTCTCACCAGACCCAGATCTGCTGGCACCTTGATCATGGACTTGCCAGCCTCCAGTATTGTAAGAAATAAATTTCTGTGGTTTATAAGTCACCTAGTTCATGGTATTTTATTAGAGCTTCTCAGACAGACAAAGACAGTCCCACGATGTCAGACTCTGTGCTGGCAGAGGAAGTTAACAATGAATTTTTTTTTTTTTTTTTTTTTTTGAGACGGAGTTTCACTCCTGTTGCCCAGGCTGGAGTGCAACGGCGTGATCTCGGCTCAACGCAACCTCTGCCTCCTGGGTTCAAGCGATTATCCTGCCTTAGCCTCCTGAGTAGCTGGGATTACAGGCATGCGCCACCACGCCCAGCTAATTTTGTATTTTTAGTAGAGATGGGGTTTCACCATGTTAGTCAGGCTGGTCTGGAACTCCTGACCTCAGGTGATCCACCCGCCTTGGCCTCCCAAAGTGCTGGGATTACAGGCGTGAGCCACCACGCCTGGCTTTTCTTTTCTTTTCTTTTCTTTTTTTTTTTTTTTTTTTTTTTTGAGACTGGGTCTTACTCTGTTGCCTAGGCTAGAGTGCAGTGGCAATCATAGCTTACTGCCGCCTTGAACTCCTGGGCTCAAGCCATCCTCTCACCTCAGCACCCCAGGGTAGCTGGGACTATAAGCCCGTGCCACCACACCCAATATTTTTAAACATATTTTTATAGAGATGGGGGTCTCACTATGTTGCTTAGGCTGGTCTCGAACTCCTGGGCTCAAGCAATCCTCTGGCTTCGGCTTCTTGGAGTGCTGGGATTACAGTCATGAGTCACTGCCACTACCTGCTTTGAGGCCCACCCTCTCTCCCAGGCACTCTACCTGCTAAAGAGAGACTTGTCTCTTTCATCCTCCATGCGCTGAGGCAATGAGGGGCAAACACTCTCCTGTGCAAACAGCGCACTGTGGCCAGGGGCTGAGTCCCACCTCTGACATGTATTACAATCTCTCCATTTCCGCACCCCTATGATGCATATAATAATAAAGTGTCCTTCAAGGGGTCATGCAGATAAATCGAACTCCTGCCTACCTCTCAGGATTTATGTTTCTCACTCTGTACTGCTCGCCAAGCTGCAAATGTGCCAGACCGTCTCTTGCCTCCATAGAATTTCTTTGCCTCAAATGCGTCCTCCCACCCCTACTTCTCCGCCTGCTCAGCCCCCTCCTTATAAAGAGGATGTTTCCTGGCCGGACACAGTGGCTCATGGCTGTAATTCTAACACTTTGGGAGGCTGAGGTGGGAGGATCCCTTGAGCTCAGAAGTTTGAGACCAACCTGGGCAACATGGCGAGACTCTGTCTCTGCTAAAATAAACAAACAAACAAATTTGTTTGTTAAAATAAATAAAAATTAGCCAGGTGTGGTGGCACACACCTGTGATCTGAGCTACTCGGAAGATATGAGGTGGGAGGATCATGAGAGTTAGAGGCTGCAGTGAGGCATGACTGCATCACTGCACTTCAGTCTGGGTGACAGAGTGAGACCCTGTCTCAAAAGAAAAAAAAAGAAGGTTTTTCCTGTCCTTCAGCTCACCACTTGCTCTGGCCTTTTCAGTCCACCTTTTTCTTGCCCACAGGTTATAGAAACCCATACAAAAGATGACTGATAATGACTCACCTCAAAGCATTCATTCATTCAACTAATATTCATTACTAATATTCATCTACTACATTCCAGTCCCAGCTTTAGGTGCTGGGGATAGAGCAGTAAACAAAACAGGAAAAACACATGCCATCATAAAGCTCATAGGCTAGTGTGTGTGTTGGGTGGGAGTGCGTGGGGAGAATACATTAATGAACGAAGAAAGAGAATAGATAGTATGGAAAATGACGGTGACTACTGTGGAGAAAACGCAAGGAAGTAGGGGACAGGAACTGGTCCTTTTGGGCTTCGGGAAGCCCTCACTGAGAAGGTGATGTTGGAGCAAAGATTCGAAGGAGGCGACACACCTGTGGGCAAAGCATTCTGGGCAGAGGGAACAGCATGTGCCAAGCACTCAAGGTGAGTATGTGCTTGGCATGTTCCAGGAAGAGCAAGGAGCCCCTGAGGCTGGAGCTAGAGGAGAGAGAGTCTTAGGAGATGAGAAGGTTGGGGGTGTCAGGGAGCCAGTTCCTGCAGGGCCTCATGGGCCATGTGAGGCTTTGTGGAACTTGAGGATAGATAAGGACATTACTGACCACGGTTTCAAAGGCTCCCTCTGGTACAGTGCTGTGGACTGGGCTGGCCACGGCAAGTGTGGCAACGGGGTCCGGTTCCGAGGTGAGTGCAGTTATCCGAGGGAGAGAAGATGGTAGCTTGGCCCAGGTGGTGGCAGTGGAAGTGTTAAGTGGCTGGATTCTGACTGCATTGGGGAAGTGGTGCCCACAGGATCTGTGGACAGATTACACGTGGCAGGGGTGGGGGTGTGAAAGAAACAGAAGTCTGAGGCTGGGGCAACTGGGAGGATAGAGCTGTCATTTGCCGGGTGGGGGGAAGAGGGAGAAGGTTTCAGCGAGGACAAGGGATATGGGGAGGAGGAGGAGGAGGAGGATGGTCTGTTTGGGACATAATGAATTTGAGATGCCTAGGGGACACCCCAGTGTTGAAATCGAGCTGGCAGCCGGAAGGATGCTTCTGGAACTCAAGGGGAAGCTCAGAAAGGCTGGATGGTGCCCTGTGCTCTGCGGAGTTAACGACTACATGAACTTCTAACCTCAGGCCTGTAGCTGTTCATCAAGAAATGCAAAGGAAATCAGCAATTAGGGCCTAGTTGATTGGGGGCTGCTAGTCTAGAAGATGCTCTGTCCCATCCCCACCCTCAAGAGAAGCTGGGACTGGCTGCGAGGCAGTTTCTGAAGGGCCCTGTCAGTTAGGCCAACATCAATTGTGCCAGGCCAGTGGCTCACGCCTGTAATCTTCATGAGTTGCAAGGTACATTTCAAGAAATAGACATGCCTTGAAATTTCCTGCTGTGGCAACAACGGTTTTCCCAGTAGAGTGGCCCTTTTGGATCAAGGGGCAGAATGAGCCCATATTGCATAAATCTAAGCCCATATTGCATAAATCTAAGATTGGTGACTGGCAGATGTCTCATGTAACGTGTGGTGGAATCACAGAAGCCATCTAAACAGGGAGAAAAATATGTAACCACATAATCGAAATCTTTCACTATTTTTCCTTTAGAGGCTGAGATTTTTGATCTTTGGGAGACTGAGGCAGGCGGATCACTTGGGGTCAGGAGTTCAAGACCAGCCTGGCCAACGTGGCAAAACCTTGTCTCTACAAAAAATACAAAAATTAGCTGGGCGTGGTGGTGCGTGCCTGTCATCCCAGCTACTTGGGAGGCTGAGGCAGTAGAATCGCTTGAACCTGGGGGGTGGAAGGTTGCAGTGAGCTAAGATCACGCCACTGCACTCCACCCTGGGCAACAGAGCGAGACTTCGTCTCAAAAAAAAAAAAAAAAAAAGGTGCCAGCTCCTCTGTTTGGGAGACCAAAGGCAAGGGGTGTTGGTCACTGACAGTGTGGCTTTCATAACCAAATCCACTTGGCTCAAAGGCCATGTCTGTCACTGAAGAGGGTCTGGTCTGTCGAGCTGTCACTGAGCAAACCTAGAGTCGAAGGAAGAGAGGCCTGCTCTCAGAGCCAATTCCTGGGCGCAATCACATTTTGGACCAATTTCTTGTGTTTCTTTCCTCCCAGACTCCCCTCCCCCAGAAAGCATTTGTCTGTAGACAGCCTGGGGTTCTGAGGTACCAGATTCTTATGGAAATAAGCAGAGAAAGAAGGAACAACAGGCATTTTACAGAAAAAGCTGTCACCAAAGGAGAAGCAACATGGCTGCTGCAGTCCCGCACAATGATTTAATCACCAACAAACTGGAGAACAAAAGCATTTTTGACGACAACATATTGTGACGGCAAACACAATTAGTTTTGCACCAACCTAATAGTATCATACCAGAAAATAGCGTTGTTGGAAGGAGAACAAGAGAAAAATCTCAGCCTCTAAAGGAAAAATAGTGAAAGATTTCGATTATGTGGTTACATATTTTTCTCCCTGTTTAGATGGCTTCTGTGATTCCACCACACGTTACATGAGACATCTGCCAGTCACCAATCTTAGATTTATGCAATATGGGCTTAGATTTATGCAATATGGGCTCATTCTGCCCCTTGATCCAAAAGGGCCACTCTACTGGGAAAACCGTTGTTGCCACAGCAGGAAATTTCAAGGCATGTCTATTTCTTGAAATGTACCTTGCAACCCATGAGGAAAGGCGCGCTTTAGATACACACAGGAAAACCTAGTTTAGTCTCTTGGATTGGGTATCATCAACTACAGAGCATTCCTTCCCATGGAAACAGATGAAGCTGAGGAGAAAAGCATAAAATTATGAATGATTAAAAATGGTCTGTAACCAGCTTCCAATCTACTTGAGAAACAGGAGGAACGCACGCAGCAGGCTGCAATAACGTCCCTCTTGTGAAAAAGAAGGAAATTGCTTCTAGTGTGAAAGTGTTACTATTTTAGGCGACAGGCATATTCATGGGTAAATCTGTTATCTGCACATGCTTCAAACACAGATGAACCTCAATGACATATGCTAAGCGAAAGACAAAAGACCACATGCTGTATGACTCCATCTAAATGAACTGTCCAGAACTGGCAAGTCTTTAGAGACAGAAAGTCGATTTGTGGTTGCCCAGGGGCTGGGGGAGGGGGGAGACAGGGAGAATGGGGAGTGAGGGCTTAATGTTTGGGTGATGAAAATGTTCTAAAATTAGATTATGTGCTCCACAAATCTGTAAATATACTCAAAACGATCGAACAATAGACTTTGAATGGGTGAATTTAAGAGTATATAAATTACATCTCAATAAAACTGCTTTTAAAAAAACCCTGCAATCGCTGATGGTAACACAGTCACCTATAATTTGAGGCTGAAGGGCTTTTTTTGTTTTTATATAATAAACATGACCCAGTAATGAAGTAAGATATTTTAATATGATGGATGTTCTAAAAATCATTACTGGCATTGAATCCAATATGTGTGTTGTAAGAGAAATAGAAGCCTGACTCAATTATAAGACATAGGAGGCCAGGCACAGTGGTTCACGTCTGTAATCCCAGCACTTTGGGAGGCTGAGGCAGGCAGATCACCTGAGGTCAGGAGTTCGAGACCAGTTTGGCCAACACGGAGAAACCCCGTCTCTACTAAAATTACAAAAATTAGCCGGGTGTAGTGGCACACGCCTGTAATCCCAGCTACTCGAAAGGCTGAGGCAGGAGAATCTCTTGAACCCGGGAAGCGGAGGTTGCAGTGAGCCAAGATCACGCCGTTGCACTCCAGCCTGGACAACAAGAGCAAAATTCTCAAAAAAACAAAAACAAAAACAAAAACAAAAAGACGTAGGAAATGCCTTACTATGATGCTGTGTGCTCTCCGAAATGAACCTTCATCCAACGCCTAAGTGAAGGCAATTTCTTTACCTTACTTCACTGTCATGAGGAACACTGCCATCGATGGACAGAAGCAGCGAATGGTAAATTGGATGAAGAGCCTTTGTCTTCAGGTTCCCAGCTGTGCAATGGGACGCATCTTTCCCATGTCTGTGGGCCTTATGCATCTCCATCTGGATAATATGCTGATTAAGTGCAGCGATCGTGTCCTCTGTCCCCTGGAGCATCCCTCTGGCCCAGGGTAGGGCACACAGTAGGTTGCCAAGCCACACTGGCTATTTTTGGCTGGCTGCTTTCCTTCCAAGCGGTGTTAAAGGTCTGCGTTGGGCGGGTAAGATAATTTAAGCTCCCCAAAACTTCCCCCTGCCCACGTTGCATGCCACCTGGAGCGACAATGTTCTCTACTCTTCGTGGACATTTCTGGAGCTCCCCAGCCATGCACAAAGATTGGTAAACTCTAGAACATGGAAGAGTGCTATCCTTCATGCCTCCTGACAGTCTTTCTTTTATTGCTGATATCCACTAACTGGGCAGGTCTAATTGTAAAATGCTTTGGTAAACATTTCTAGGACTTCTTCCCATGGCGGGGATGCGGAGTTCACAGAACAGGGTTGTTGTACTGAGCACTGTGGAAGCCACAAGGATCTGCCCTGAATGTCAAGTCTTTTTTTTTTTTTTTTTTTTTTTTTGAGACAGAGTCTCTCTCAGTCGCCCAGGCTGGAGTGCAATGGCATGATCTCAGCTCACTGCAACCTCCCTCTCCAGCAATCAAACGATTCTCCTGCTTCAGCCTCCCAAGTAGCTGGGATTACAGGCACCTGCCATCATGCCCGGATGCTTTTTGTACTTTTTTAGAGACGCGGTTTCACCAGGTTGGGCAGGCTGGTCTCAAACTCCTGACCTCAGGTGATCCGCCCGTCTCAGCCTCCCAAAGTGCTGGGATTACAGGCATGAGGCACCGCGCCCAGCTGCATGTCAAGTTCTTACACAATGTTTGCCCCCTATTAGATACTCAGGGATGAGCTCTTAAGCGAAGGGACCAAGGAATGAATAAATGAATCTCCATGCCAATCACAAAGAAGAGAAATCTGAGAGTGAGCCCTGGGGGTGTCTGAGAACCAGGAGTATTTGGATCTAAGCCTTGAAAGAGTCTGCTTAGATTTTCTTGCTGAGGAAAGAGGAGGGGGCAAGGAGTACAGGAAAAGCAACAAAACCCCAAAGCGTCTTAAAGTAGAGTTACTGGGACAAGTTGCAGACTATTCATCGCAAGGGAAAAAAATCCTAACAGACAACTGGTTTACATGATCCCTACTTAAAAATATACCTTGGGGTTTGCAGAATGACCTTGAAATTATATCGTCACCAGTCTTTCCAAATACAGAGAAATGTGACTAAGTAACAAAAGTCATCGCCTGGGAAACATGGTGAAAACCCCTCTCTACAAGAAATACAATAAATTAGCCGGATGTGGTGGTGCGTGCCTGTAGTCCCAGCTACTAGGGAGGCTGAGGCAGGAGGATGGCATGAGCCTGGGAGGTTGAGGCTGCAGTGAGCCGTGAAACCAAGAATTCTGATTCCCTGCTTGTGTGAGTTTCGCTGCGTCTTGTCTACCAGCTCATTTGCAGATCGCAGAGACGTCCTTCTCCCTGCTTTTTAATTTATTTTCTGTAACACACACAAATACACAATGTCCACAAAGAAGACAGTCAACCAATATTCGATCGTCTGGATGAACCTGAGGAGAAATTCTGAGCAGATGGGTACTTGAGAATTGAGAGAGGCATGAAAGAATATTATTTCAAAGATTGAGAGGGAATTGGAACTGGATGACATTTTAGAGATTTGCCCTTATTTTTTCCTAATTGAGGCATATCACTTCTGCTAGGGTCATATTTAGAAATTTTAAAATGAGTGAGTGTACTGAGTCTCCGGGGTTTCCTGACGCTCAGTTGGATTATGTTTTTTATTAGATGCCAGTGGTACTGGGCATGTTACATTAATCCATATTTAAACTAGGGTGACCTTACGTCCTGATTTGCCCTGGATGGTCCTGGGTTACACCTGTTGTCCCAGCAGAATTATTAATAGCATCCTCCTCCACCGTCAGTAGCATTCCTGTTTGGAATATTAAATTCTGCAATCACTCCAACTTTGACTGCTAAAAGTTTTCTAGAATATGCCATAATTTCTCATTAATTATTGCAACTTATGGCTATTTTATAGATTTCTGAAACCCATCCTTTTTTCTGTTGGATTTTAAGCATCCTTTGAACTTTAGAAGGCTCCTCACAGAACTGGAAAGCCATCCACATAAAGACAACTGTTGTTCATTAATAACACATGTTAATTAACATGTGTTGCTAATTAATAATATTTATATTATTCAGGTTATATTCCTATTTATCAATGATATTAATTAAATTATGTATTAAGCATGCAATGAATGTCAATGGTTGAATAGCACATACCTTCATAGCCAAAGAGAAGTAATAGCAAAAAGCCTTCTATCTTGCGTGACATCTTCCCCTCGTCCTCAGCCGAAGCTCTACCTTACTGAACTAGAGAGCTGGCCCAGGAGCAGGGGATTAAGTTGAGCCCTGGCCTCATTAAGCATCTTAATCCATTTAGTTCTTAGGTCTTCGGCTGAGCCCCATCAAGTTAACCCACAGAGTTACCTGCCTTAACAAGGAAGTTTCATGGAAGATACTTGCATCAACTGAGATTCAGTTTGCGAGGAAGATACTTTTCGTTCTTTGTTTGTGTTTTTGTTTTTGATGGAGTTTCGCTCTTGTCACCCAGGATGGAGTGCAATGGCGCCATCTCAGCTCACTGCAACCTCTGCCTCCCGGGTTCAATCTAGTCTCCTGCCTCAGCCTCCTGAGTAGCTGGGATTACAGGCGTCCGCCACCATGCCCAGCTGTTTTTTTTGTATTTTTAGTAGAGATGGGGTTTGGACCTCCCAAAGTGCTGGGATTACAGGCATGAGCCACTGCACCCAGCCCATACTGTTTTCATTCTATCTTAATGTAAGGGAAGCAATGGAGGGAGAGAGGAACTACACCCAGAAGTCTCAGGTCTTCGTCCTTTCTTCGCCATCATCTTCTAGGGGGTGACCTTGAACAATTTCCTGCCACGTAAGCACTAACATTATCGAATTGTATGAAAATGTCATGGATTCCCCTCTTTGAAAGCAACTAGGCATCATGTGCACACCTATTCACCCAGGAAAATGCTAAATTTCGTGGTGGTAGGAGGACAGTTACACAAAGCTGTGCATTGCTGTGTTACTTTTAAGGACAACAAATTGGAAACAATCTAAATGGCCAAGGTTAGGGGGCTGGTTAAGTAAATCAGGAGATGAGTGCAGCCTGGTAGGGTTAAGAGCACAGACTGCCAACCCAGACTGGCTGCCAAATCGCAGCACTAGCACTTGTTACATTGTGACCTCAGGGCAAGTTATTAACATCTCTGTGCCTAAATTTTCTCATCTGTAAGATGAGATAATAATGCCTACTTTCTAGAGTTATTTTCAGGCTTACAAGAGATCATATATACAAAATACTTAGCACAGTGCAAGACATAATTAACTATTTTTTTACATCATCATTCAGAATAAAGTTGATGGGAGGAAAGGGGGAGTTGTTTAATAGGTATAGAGTTTGAGTTTTGCAAGATGAAAAAGTTCCGGAGATCTGTTTCACAACAGTGTGAATATACTTAACACTACTGAACTGTACACTTCAAAATGATTAAGGTGGGCTGGAGGTGGTGGCTCACACCTGTAATCCCAGCACTCTGGGAGGCCAAGGCAAGCAGATCACTTGAGGTCAGGAGTTCGAGACCAGCCTGGGCAACATGGTGATACCTGGTCTCTACCAAAAATACAAAAATTAGCTGGGCATGGTGGCGTACACCTGACCTGTAATCCCAGCTACTTGGGAGGCTGAGGCAGGAGAATCGCTTGAACCCAGGAGGCCGAGGTTGCAGTAAGCCGAGATGGCACCACTGCACTCCAGCCTGGGTGACAGAGCCAGACTCTGTCTCAAAAAAAAAAAGAAAAAAGGCCGGGCGCAGTGGCTCATGCCTGTAATCCCAGCACTTTGGGAGGCCAAGGTGGGCGGATCACGAGGTCAGGAGATCAAGACCATCCTGGCTAACATGGTGAAACCCCGTCTCTACTAAAAATACAAAAAAAAAATTAGCCGGGCGAGGTGGCGGACACCTGTAGTCCCAGCTACTCGGGAGGCAGAGGCAGGAGAATGGCGTGAACCCGGGAGGCGGAGCTTGCAGTGAGCCGAGATCGCGCCACGGCACTCCATCCAGCCTGGGCGACAGAGCGAGACTCTGTCTCAAAAAAAAAAAAAAAAGAAAACAAAAAAGAAAAAAAAATGGTTAAGGTGGTTTAAAAAAAGAATAAAGTTGAAGTGATTGTAATAACAGGAAAAGAGTTATAATCTTAAGTTAGGAAAAGACGCAAATTTCTACACTGTTAAGGATGCACAACTAGGTTGAAAAATGCAGAGAAAAATACTGAGTGACCTTTCTCATTTTATTTTTTTGCTACCGCCATCTCACCATGGCCCACACCCTCATTCCTCTTGTCAAAGATAAAAAAGCCAATATTTAAACAAATAATAAACTCCCCAAACGAAACTGTAATGAAATAGTAAAGAGGGACAGAAAGAAACTAGAGAAACGTTTGCTCAACCAGTATTTATTGAATGTCTACAAGCCTGACATTTATTTTATACTGTGTATGAACTCTATTCCACAAATTCTACTGCTGCATTATAAAGGACTGTGTTTTTTTTTTTTTCTTGCTCTGTACATCAGAGTTTAATGAAAAATAGAACTTTTAATCAGAGTCATAATAATGATCGACCTTTAATAATTCAGCTACAGTCAAAGCGCTGCTGTATTGCCTGCCACATTTTAGTTGGAGGTTGGGTGACCGGCCCTTGCTGACTTGCAGGCAAAGGGCAGCCAGGTGCATTCCCCGAGCGCCCGATTTTCCGAGGCATACTGGGAAGAGAGGTGGAGTAGGGCCTGGCCGGATCGGGGGCGCCAGATTGGGTCTAGGACTTCGCCTGGCCCCTGCCCTCCACTATTTCTCATGTCAGACGATGGCGGCAGCGACCTTGTGGGATAGGAGAGGGTATCTGTTATTTCACTTCTGCGAGAAAAACATGCCAAAAATTTTAAAAAGAAGAAAAGGACAAAGAAAAAC